CATATGCTTTCAATTGTGTAATTTAAGTGATCTAGGTAGCTCTGTTTTGAAGTTCAGTTAATGCTAGAAATGTGTTTGGGAGGTTCTTTGTCTCTAGGGGCCACCGCATATATTTATATATAAACATATATAAATTAAAACATGTTTTTTTTACATTAGTAATTCCTTTTGTGCATAATTTTATATTGTTGTTAATAATAAATTAATTAAAGCAACAAAACAACCTGAAGAGCCGGTTGGGAGCCGAAAGAGCCGGTTCTCTAAAAAGAGACGGAAATTCCATCACTACAACCAAAAGTGTTCATATCAAAAGGAAGACAGAGTAAGTGCAGTAAATCCAAGGAGCCAAACCAAACTGAAAATCAGGAGGGTGTCAGGCAAAGAAAATACAACCATTGTCCATATCTGAAATATTACTGCAGCAGCACCGGTGGTGCCTTTTAAAACAATGCATGGTACCTTGTAAGAGATTAGAAGTTAACACCATCAGAGAGAAGAAAGTGTTAAATAACAATATTGGCAAATCATTTTAGCACAGAAGGAACCACAGATAAAAGAAAAGCCTGGTATCAGAATGTAAACAAAGCAAAACAAAACAAACAAAATGGAAAAGAAATCTCAGTGAAATGGACATGCCCAGTTACATCTGCATATCAGCTGTTAGAAATAGTGTTTTTATGTAATATCGATAATCTGTTCACTCGGTGCTAATTCATTGGTTTTGTTTCTGAAGGTTCTTCAACCATAAATTGTGAAACGGTGACTCCTTCTAAAAATATAGGTGAAGTCAATGAAGGATATTCAGGTAAAGTGTCTTCTTTCATCTTTACTTTATAATTTTTTAATAACACAATAATCAAACATAGTATATTCCTGTGCCAACAATCATTTAGTCTGGTATGAAATGAATAAATGCGTGATGGTAGTAATACAAGTGTCAAGGATGCACTGTGTGGCAGGCTGGGTGAGGACCCAAAAAAGGAGTGAAATGAGGGAGGCAGTTTTATTCCTGTATCAAAAATATTAAAACATGTACAAGTACAAGTATTATTAACCAAAAACGCAAAAACTAGAAACAAAGAACTAAACCTAAGAAACTGCAAAACTAAGACTGGACCAGAGAACTAGGGAGGTAACGATAGGATGAGAAACAGGAGGGAAACACAGCTGGAACAGATCTAACACGATAAGAGAGGTAGGAAGCAAAACAAAAAACAATAACACAGGACACGAGACTGTCCAAGTAAAACAGGAAACAGGAGACACGCTATAAGACACAGACTGAGTGAACATAGGGGACAGAGGAAGTGAGAGACACGACTGGGAAACAGATGAATAAACACGGAGACAGAACTTAAATTCACAAGAGACATGGCAGACTCCCTCAGGGGAGGCAAGGAAACAGAACCAGGAAGTATACTGAAGAATATAACATTAACCGGAAAGCACACACACTGCGTCACACACCCAGGATTGTGACAGGAAGACTATGGCATGAAAGAAACAAGAAATACAATGTTTTTTTTCTCCTGGTCTGGAAAACTATCCATACTTACACATTTAGTGTTTATCTTGTATTCTTCATAATTCTCCATGATGCTGCAGGGGATGTGGAGAGGATAGATGGTATCGTGCCAGGAACCAGTGTGAAGTTAGTGGACTATATCTTTCTTCCCCACCTTGAGTTTCTGGAGCTGAGTTTCACACCTGGGGACAGCTTTGCAGTTGTTCGCACCAAGAAACCTCTAGATGCAGATGCTCCGATGTCTGTAAGTTTGGGCAAACCTATTTCCCAGAAATTCCATATGTATTATAAATACAGCTTATTTTAAACATCAAAAGAAAAGGAAACATTTTCAGTAACTGCCAAATTAAAGATCTGCAAGCATACTCCTATTGATTGCAATACAGTATCTTCCCATTGCAGCTGAAGACCAATATACTAAACCCTTTAAAAACTTAATGGGAGCCTTTTGTAATAAAATGCCAAAAACATATGTAAAAAAAAATATATGTAAATCAGTGCACTAAATAACCACAGCAGCATATAGTCTTACACATCAAAACATCCAAGTGAAATTCTGCTGCACACACAATGGGCAACACTTAAGAAATTCTACAATTATGCAACATTTTATTATAATCAGCTGCAGTTTTTATTAGATTTCATTATCTTTTTTTCTTTTTTATGCTGTTCGGTTTAGTTTAAACATAAATGACTCATTTGAAGGTAATCCACTGTGTTCCTGTCTTACAGAGTCCTACCACCCTGTATTATTCTGTCATGTGTGATGGTAATATTAAGGTGGGTGATATTCTGTGGTTGCACAGTTTCAATATTTATGCATTACAAATATACATTACAAATGAAATATGTCAAATTATTTTATTTCATTTTTTATTTTACAGTACAATAACACTCGGACACTGAAAATCATAGATCTCAATGACAACGCGCCGATATTTGAAAAGAAACTGTACTCCAAAGATGTCTCTGAGGTTAGCCACTAAAATCTGTTAAAAAATGGAATGTAGACCAGTTGCATGATACATTTCTATAAATGTGAGAATCACACCTGTACTTAAGAGGAAAATTAAGAAGGATAGGATGGAACTACAAAACATGTGTTTTTCTCTGGCTGTATATGATTTAACTTTTTCTTCTTTCAGACACTTAATCTGAATGCTGAGGTTATTCGAGTGACAGCTGTGGATGCAGACGCCACCTCACAAAACAACAGAGTGACATATTCCATTGTAAACACATTTAAAATTTCTTGAAAAGCTAGTGAGAGTATGTGTTTTTTAAGTAACGTGCAGGTCTATTTACTTGTCACTTCAGTGTTAGCTGAGAATAAAGCTCTTCACTAATTTTTGTGTTTCTTTTTTTGTGCATTTTTCTATGTAAAAAAGAAACATTTTTAATGCAAATGTTAGTGAAAATTATATAAATAATTAAGCTTTCACATAAGGTAATTCATACTGGTCGTCGGTAATGTGTCTGTATTTAATCTGTCATTATAAAAAATAACAATAACAACATGGTGATGATGTTTTGGGCTTTTGTTGCTTTTTCATAAGACACCAGCCACAGAAGACTTTGAAGTCACTGACTCAGGGGCGTTTATGTTGAAAAGACGTTTGAACTACAACGCAGTCCAAAACTACCACTTTACTGTAACGGCCAAGGTGAGTTAAAATTATTTCGAGCAACTGATATTTATAAAAACTGAACTACTTCAATCAAGAACATCTATATGATTATAGTCTTACTATCCTTCGCTGCAGGATAACGGAGGATTGAATGACACAGCCTCAGTGGTGATTAATGTAGAGGACTTTGATAACTTGAATCCCTATTTCAGCCACAATCTGTACCAGGCCTTTATTTCAGAGAACCAAGTAAGTCTCAAAATCTTAATTCTGTACACGTAGTGTTTTAATCACAGTCTTTAAATATTAATTCTGGAAATTTTGTTTTTTCCAATATGTTTTATGTTCCTTCTGAATTTCATGTCTACAAGACATGGGGGTTTTTTTTACAAACAGATTTGATTTGATTTTATAGCCATGTTTACATGATGAACACAGTGCAGTAGTAAATGCAAATAAAACTATACAAAGACAAAGAAACAAACATAAACAAGATTCAGAAATGCAGATGCTTTCTGAGAGGATAAACTCAGCCAAAACCAGCCCAAAGTCCAGAATTTTCTTCTTTTTTTTTTTCTTCTTTTTCCCTAAATTTTCAAAACATCTAGACTAACATCACAAATCAGATCTCATTTACATATCTTCACTTTTTAAATTAAACATGTCAAAATCTGTTAGTTAATTGGGGCCCATCCTAGCTGTTATAAAGTGAAACGCAAGCAACGCTCTGGAAACGTCACTGCGGCAGCTTTGAAATACAGAATGTAACTCTCGTGTGTGTTGTGTACTTCAGCTTGGATTATTCCATACCATTCAACCAGAGGCAATAAAGGCACAAGATGGAGATATTGGGATCAACATGACTTTGACTTATACCATCAGTGCTGGTAAATGCTTAAAAAAATGTGTTCAGTTTTTTGTTTTACTAATACGACATTAAACCTGTGAAAACCTCTAAATTATTTATGTTTGTTTAGTTTCTCCAGACAAATATCAAAGAAACTTCAACATTGACCCCTCCAGTGGAGTTTTGTCTGTGATTGCTGCCTTCGATAGAGAGGAAATGAACAGCAGCATGATCTCTATCAGCATCAAGGTACTGACATTTTAATCTATGCATTCATTAAGAGTAAAAAGGTCTGTTGTGTCAAAATGGTTCAGTCTTAGCTGAAGGCTCACCAAAATTTAACACAATTTTTTTTAACACACAATTTTCACTTGTGTTACATATAGAATTTGCACAAAAGTGAGGAACGTGGCTCATATGAACAAATACTGCTATTCGTTATCTAAATCTAAATATCGCTCTGCTTTAATACTCTTCAGGCAGCCCAAACAGACGACAGTATGAAGACAACTGAGACAGTAGTGTCTGTCACTGTAGAGGATATTAATGATAATGCTCCAGAGTTTGATGAACCCAGCTACTCTGTGACACTTGTGGAAAACTCGCCTGTTGATGCTGTTCTGTTCAAAGCTTCTGTCACTGATCTCGACCAGGTAGTCTACAGTTACAATACACATATGATTTCGAGATATATTCTGTCAGTTGATGCTGTTAATAATATATAAAAACTGCATGTATATTTTCATTCACTCTCTTCATTTTCATATTCATCCATAGGGAGGGTTTGTGGGAACAATGAGGATCATCCCAGAGTCTGCTCCTTTCTCTATCAGCTCTGATGGGACAGTCAGAGTGAAAAACTCTACAGCTCTCGACCGAGAGACCACTGAAACAATCACATTTCAGGTCATTTAGATTTAAGATAAAACAACTGTCAGTATATACTGGGTCTTAATTCATGTTTAAAAAAAAAACTTGAAAACTCATTTTGAGCCATTCAGTTTTAAACAGATTAAAATAATTGAAACGTGGGAGAAAAACTGTGTTTTTCAAAGAGTAAAGTTTGTCCCAACTTTCATCTCAACTTTGTTCTTCGTACTAATTTTAAAGGTAGAAGCAAGAGAGCAACATGAACCCAACAATGTTGCAACAGCACAAGTTACTGTGACTCTTCTGGATGAAAACGACAACATTCCTAAATTCACCAGCGGCGTGTATGAAGGAAAAGTGTTTGCAAATCAAACAGAGGGATTGTTGCTGGTCCAGGTTAGTGAGTTCTACTCAATAAGACATATACCTGCATGTGTATTTTTTTTAATCACTTCAGTTTACTCTTTTGCTTGCATTGCATTCAATCATACCAACTCAGAAAAATATTTTTTACAACTAAAAAAGATAATCACTTTCTCATGGCATTACTAAATCATATTTTATGCATATCATCCAAAGATATTGTTTTTTGTTTTTGCTGTTATCATCTTGTGTTTTGTTTTTTGATTTCCGTGACATTTAAACTGTGATTTGTATTATGTGACTCCAAGGTTAGGGCAGAAGATCCAGATGTCGATGCAAATGGGCAGATTACATACTCTATTGACTTTGGGAACAGTAAAGGATACTTCACAATCGATGAAAACACCGGAGAAATTACACTAGCTAAAACCATTCCCCTGCAGGAAAACCAGATTTTGGAGTTCCCTCTCTATGTAACAGCAAAAGATGGTAGATTTTTTTATTATTATTCTTATTATTGTTGTTGTTAATATTGTTGAGGTTGTTGTGGTTGTGGGCATGGCTTGCCAGAATAGGTTATTCAATTTCAGAATCACTTATTCTGACATTCACTAAATCATAACTTACACAACTGTGATTATTTGGCATGTATGCAGCACAACTGCAGCATATGTGCACAACTTCACCGCCTGCTTTCTTAGTTGCTATGCCTAAGTGTAATGTCATAGCAATCACTCCACTTTAGCATCATAACATTGTTACCTTGCATGTGCCAAGGTTTTTAATCTCACATGACTAATTCATATTTTTCACAGAACTTCATTGCTTTCAACAAGGCATTTTACAGTCAGTTCTGTCACCTGAGTAACTTTAAGATGGAAGTAACTACTGTTACATAATCTTAAAGTAGACCAGCTGACCTCTTAATGCCTGCCATCATTAAAGTAGCATAATATTCTTCTTCATCTGTCCTCTAGGTGGCGTCATACCTCACTCCTCCTCAGCACAAGTGAATATTTTTGCTCCTGGTGATTCAAAACCTCAGTTTTTACAAAAAATTTACCATTTTACCATAGAGGAGGAGCAGGAGCCAGGAGTTACAGTTCTTAAGGTATGTTTCCCAGTGAATTTGTGTGCAGACCAGTGTTTTTATCATCCAAATGTTCTTGTGTCAAATGCCAAGTTACATTTAGCTACTCACTGTTGTTGCTATAGTTAACTTTAAATGTCATAGTAGGATTTTGTCAATTCTGTATTTCTTACAGGTTCACTTCCTCGCAATACCTCCTCCTATTCCAGAGTTTTTAGTTACAACAGAAGGTGACAAATTCAAAATCTCCAACAGTGGTGAATTCACCACCAAGGTTAAGCTTGACCATGACGAAGGCCCTCAAAACTACTCAGTAGAAATTACCATCACTGACGGAACAACCAGTGACAGCGCCGTGGTTGAGGTCCAAGTCACTGACATCAATGACAACAGTCCAGTTTTTGCCTCCAGCTCAGTCACCAAATCTGTTCTGGAGGATGCAGAGGTAGGATTCAATGTTACTGCAGTTCCAGCTACAGACAAAGACAGTGGCTTCAACAAGGAGATCAGATATTCACTGAGAGGAGGAGAAGGGAGCTTTTCTATTGATCCTGTGTCTGGGATGGTCAGTTTGGCCGGTGCACTTGACAGGGAGACCAAGGCAGAATACAGCCTGCTGGTGGTGGCTGAAGATCAGGGTCGTCCAGCCAGGTCAGCCACAGCCACTCTGACGGTACAAGTATCTGACATCAACGATAACACACCAAAGTTCTCAGTGGCTGAGTATCAGGTTGAAATCTTAGAAACAGAGTCAGTGGGTGCAAGCTTGCTCACCTTATCAGCTCTAGATCCTGATGAAAGTGTAAATGGAATAGTTACATACAGCATTTTCCAGCAAAGCCCTTCATCAGACCCTGCTGTTTTTGATTTGGAGTCATCCACTGGGATCCTGCGACTGGCCCAGCCTCTGGACTACAGTGAGGCAAATATGTATACCCTAAAGGTTCAGGCCACTGATGGGGGAACACCCTCTTTGATTGGGAATGGCTCAGTGGTGGTGAAGATAAAGGACGTGAATAATAACCCACCTGAGTTCAGTAAGGAAATCAATCACATACTCATCTATGAGAACCTGCCCGGTGGTGCATCCATCCTGGTGCTGGAAGTTACTGACAAGGATGAGGTGAGTTACATGACCGGGTCCAGCTATGATAAGTTTTGGTTCTTATTTGGTCTACTGTGCAAAAAGACCAAAGTGTTTTTCCACAGTTGTACTGATATATCAGTATATGCACCTGATTTGTTCTTAATAATTACCTTTGGTTATGAAGACGTCTTATTTAACATAACTACCTTACTTTTTAGGGTGGATTCTCCAATGGCTACTTCCTTTACAACAATGACACTTTTGAGATCAATAAGCAGGGAGTCGTCTCACTGAGAAGAGATGTAGCCTTGGACAGAGAGACAAAAGACAGCTATTTGTTACAGGTAAATATACAACATATGTATGGATACTGAAAATTGTGATATTATATTGTCTTGCACTATTGTTTAAAATGTAATTAATACATGGCATTCTTAGATTGCCATGTATTAACGTATACACACATCAAATATTTTCTGTTTTTAAAACTTAAATACGTATAACCCAATGGTGAGCCACTGAACCATTTTTGAAATTATTACATTGGGAATAGAAGAACGAGAGGCACAGAATCAGTTCAGCAATATTTTTCTCATTTTTTCATTATTCAGTCCTCTTTCCATTTTCTTTTTATGTGTAAAAATATAACTTTACTGTAGTTAATTTGTGCAATGTTAAAAAGCAAAAATAACAATAATAATAAGTTAAAGGGAACGAATACTATATGCCCGGGCTAAACTTTATGTTTTTTGGTTAAAAAAAGTAACTTGGTGTCTAAGAGCTAAAGTTAGTAGAATCCTGTGGGGGAGGTTTCAGTAACTTTCTGTGTTTTCTGTGTCTCTATTCAGGTTGTCGCAGTGGATCAGGTGACTGATGGTCTGAGTTCCACGGCTCAGCTGAATATCACAATCCTTGATTACAATGACAATTCTCCACAATTCCCAAGCATTCCTGACCCACTGATGATCATTGAAGGCGATTACTCAGTGGAAAGCCCAGGAGAAATTATTACCATCACACCCACAGACGCAGACCTTGGGCTAAATGGAGAGGTCACCCTCTCCCTTATCTCCCCCCACCCAGTCTTTAGATTCAGCGAGGTGAGGCAAAAGGGAAAAAACAGCTGGGAACATTTTCCAACATGCCAGAATTCCGCTTTTTGTCTATTATAGCGACTGCTTTACCTGACATGATGGTTATATATTGCCACACACATATTAATTCTGTTCATTTGTATTAGCGCAATCTGAAGTCTGAACCTTTGGCACAAAATGAGCCTTATTTAGTATGCAGTATAAGAGGACATAAACGTCTAAAAAAAGAAAGAAAAACAAATAAAGGAACACTTAAAACACATCAGATATCCATGGATACACCTCCACAGACAGGTTGGCTAGCATGGCGTTATCTATGCTTCTCCATACCCCTTCTTTTCAGGCTCAGGGTGAATTTGCTTTCAGCAGGGTGCAAGTGGTGGACCTGCCAATTCTATGGCAAATTCTGATCAGGCTCCACAGACAGTGCCAGGCAGTGAGTACAGGGCCCATTAGATGATGTTGGGCCCTCAGTCCACCCTAATGAAGTCTGCTTCTGATTGTTTGCACAGAGACACTCATAGCACTGGCCTGAAGGAGGTAATTTTGTAGGACTGACAGTGCTCATCCTGTTCCTCTTTGCACAAAGGAGCAGATACTAGTCCAGCTGATGGATTAAGACCTTCTATGGCCCTTTCCACTTATGTAGAGTAACTGCCTGTGACCTGGAATCTCCGCCATATTACTGAGACTTTATGAGACACAGCAAACCTTCTGTCAATGACACATGTTGATGTGCCATCCTGGAGGAGTGGTAATACCTGTGCAACCTCCGTAGAGTCCAAGAATCACCTCACACTGCCATGCTACTGATACAAGCCGAATGTAAACCCAGTGAAAAAACAGTCAATCCCCTTTGCTACTTAACTGAGCAGATCAATATCCTACTCTGATTAAAAAAGTTTTCCTTTATTTTATTTTTATTTGGTTTTATTTTAGTGTATATGACAGAAAATAAGGAAAGTCATACTCACAATAGAAATGTATAATAGGGCCTTAATTAATTAATCAATTACAGTAGTTGTGGGCTCTACAATGCACTGTATTGGGAAGCAGCAACAAAAGTTACAGTATAGACATTGTTCGCAGTGCTGCATATTTTAGGATTGGATGGAAAAATCTGTTCTAAAGAGGGGCAAAATGATTGTTTCACTATTATGTGAGTGCTCTTGGGCTGGTTGTAGTTATGTTGTAGGTATAGTATAATTATGTTGGATGTGTGTTGCAGTTTCATGTGTTGTGTTACAGGATGGGACATTGCTGGCTATTGGTCCTTTGGATCGGGAGAGCAGGGAAACATATGACCTGACTGTGACGGCTTTAGACAAAGGCAACCCTCCAAGAGAGGTAACTACAGAAAATGCTTACAGACCCTGAAACAGCCAACATTCCAAAAAAGTTCTTGTATTTTACAAAATTAGGTCTACTTTTGGTCCAGTTGAGTATTTTCACATCAGAAAGGCACTCTTAAATTGTACTTGACAATTACTATTGTAATTGAACTTTGGACTTTGAACACCAGAACTTCACCTCGATCAGAGTGAGCCTAGCTGACCTGAACGACAACAACCCCGTTTTCAGTTCCAGCGACTACGTCAGCACCATCCTGCTGAAAGACGCAGAGGAAGGAAAGCTTTTGCTCACGCTGTCTGCTACTGACCGAGACACCGGGAACAATTCTCTCGTCACCTACAGGTCAGTTCAGATGGACAGGACGCTTTTGGAATGTGACTGCAAAATCATTTCACCTTCTTTATGTAACAAATTGAAAGTTGGAAGGCTTTGGGAAATTTCAGGGTGTTTTTTTGTAACACGATAATACATTACAAACTATAAATACTACGAGTGTTATTCATTTTTGGGCTGTTTTTAAACTAACTCCTATCTTTATGATTCTGACTTTTCCGTTTGATTCTGGTTTCCTCATATCATTCTACTTCTCAACAAATATTAGAGAAAAAACACTCAAACAATCAGGCAATCCCTGATAAGCAAGCACCTGGTTATGGTGTAAAGAACACATTCAAGGAGGTGCAACCATCTGCTACATAGGAAGACAAGGACAAAAAAACATACTATGGGAGAGAGGAGTTAAAAGTTAATGACATGAGGTAGAAGCATGTAAATGCATCGTGAGTGAAAAGAGGAGAGAAGGAATGCTCAGTGCATCATAGAAAAGTCTCCCAACATTCTAGCAACTCTGCGATGGGAGAGTTCAGGGTTACCTGATCCAGCTCTAAGTATAGGTTTAATTGTCTGTGTAGTGAAGACCTGGCACCACCAAAGTGAATGCTGTTGCATTTTATTGAACAGGGTTTTGACGCAATTTCTCGCAGTTTCTGCTTTCCAACATTCACATTGCTGCATCGTCACGCCAGGGCATGTTTCAAAATGCTGCTCTATGTGAGTGGAAAGACCAGGCAGGTGAGAAACACATCTCCAAAACGTTGTTGCAATGCAGCAACATCTGCTCTCTGAGCCTGTGTGAGATGGTTGTCACAATGGAGTGAGGATGGTAAAGCTAAATTTGGCCCCTTCTGGCCCCAACTTATTTCTTTCCTTAAATAGGTTCACCAGAGATGGATTCAGCCTGTCTTTATGCTTTCAGGAGGCTCAGGTGATATGATTTGTGTGGCTTGCTTGATTTATCTCCCAGTGAAAACTGTCTGAGTTGTAAATGTTGTAAAGTTACTGCTGACATTCCTGGGCCTGGAACAAATTCTCCCGTGACAACCTGCGCAACACTGGCGCACATCCCCTCAGATGTCCAGCTACTAAAATTGGGCAATGATTTACTCCAGATTTTTATCATAACTCTGGAGTAAATGGAAAATAGCCTGGCAAATAAATTCCTGTGTATGAGTCTCATGACTCACTCAATATAAACTGTCACTCATTACAAAATACAGAAATTTCAGTGCTACATCAACGTTTATCACTTGCTGAAAGGCTGAGCTCAGACTGTCATCACTGCTCTTGTGGGAAATCTTTCGTGGAGCAAATCACCGGAGCCAGTGGGCTCTCACGTGAAGGCCCCACCATTTCTTCTTCCCCAGAGTTGGTGTCTGATGACTTCGTGTCACCACTGAGCACAGCACAGGCATACATATGTTTCTCCTGGGCTGGGTGAGGGTGTCAGAAGGCTGGTGGTGCACATCATCTGCGCAGCTTCCACGAGTGGACATTCTTGGCCCACACGTCCAGCACTCCTGCCCTAACTGTCATGCTGCTCCCAGTGGGCAGGGCACAGCATCCATAGCCACAGCAAAACATCTGTGTGCAACCAAAGTCCACAGTTGAATTAAGTAGATCCAACATGTTCTTTTTTTCAGCTGAGGGAAGCATGTATTTTTTTTCTATAGTATTGTATAGGCGGAAGAGTCATTGTGTACGTGAATATTTTTTTGTTTGTTTGTATTTAATTTTTTTATCTATTAAAATGCATGGATTAAACATATTCCAAGATAATTTAGTGTTGTTGTATGTTGCTGTAGCAGGAGTATTTATTAAATGTATTTTTTTCATTTTTGCTGTTTTAGTTTCTCTGGAGAAGGTTCTCCATACTTGGACCTAAACACCCAGACTGGGAATGTGACTTTGACCTCCAAATTTGCTGATTTAACAGAAGATACCGCACTGGTGCTGACAGCTGTGGCCACAGACCACGGCCAGCCCCCTTTGAGCACCACAGGTCAGTCTAACGGCTCCTGGCATCATCGGTTATTTGAGCTTTATTTTTTGATTTAACTGTAAACCATAACATCATAGTATGCATGCATTTTAACCTTCCCAAGTTTAGAAATAAATGCATTCCTGCTTTGTATTGGGAACAGATTGATAGGAAAGGAAAGAAGTAAAACTGAAATGTTACAGCCCTGCATGGGGAAAATGTGAGGCATAAACAATCTAGAGTTGGGTTTTTTGCAGTTTTCATGAGTTGTGTTTTTGCGGAAAATTCATCTTCAAAAACAAACTGTGAAAAAAAGGAAGTTGACATGAAGAGATAACAGTCTAACGTTACAATTTACAATTGACATTTCAAGTGACCTTGAAGTGGTTTAAAGTGACCAACGTAGCAGCTTTAAAGTTTACAGTATGAGTGAAATAAAGTGACCAACATGAAAATAAAGTGACCAACATGAGCAGGATTCCTGAGTGTAGGATTGTCCATAGAGCAACATCTGTATTTACAAAGGCAGTGGTATCAAAGGCTGTTGAGGTTGTTGGGCTTGACAGAAAAGTGTAACTCTGTGTTATCTGCATAGTAATGGTAGGAGATTCCATTAAAACCATTAAGTAGGTGACCCAGTAGTCTGTCAAGGGTGGATTGGACCACCCTTGACTGCTGCCTAACACACATAGCACCTGACCCCTATGGTGCCTCGTGCTATTGGTGGAATTACAGAAGGGCAGGCCCATGACTCCTCTAAGGCTGCCAGGCTCCATGAGCAAAGGGGGCAAACAGACGCTCTTCCTTGAGCTCCCTTCTCAGCTAATTGTGCCTCCACCCTGGGGGTGGGGACACAATAAGCTTATCCCTGGCAGGGTAAACTGGTTCCTTGGTTAATATCTTCTCATAGGTGTCATCTGCAGTATGTAGAAATGTGTAAAAATGTTTATGAATAACTCAAACACTGGACATATTTGAAAAACGCATGTTTAGACATAATGCTATATTTTATTAGTCTTCAGTTCCAGTCACTGTTTGATCAGGATTAGGAATAAATTAATAAATAATGATTTATTGGAAGTTAACATGATTTGACTTTAAAAGCATCTTTTCACAATGTTAACCAATTCAGTTCAGTTCAGTTTTATTTCTATAGCATGGAAAATTATTCGACTCAGCTAAGAATTACACAAAAAAATCGACAGAAATTTCAGTATGTACTAAGAAATCCTAAATTTTGTATGGACCGTTAAGTTTCTAAAAATTAACAATTTAATTGTTCATGTGAAGATCCTGTTCGATGCATTTAAAAAATTAGCTTCACCTGTGTGGGAGTTTAACCCATGAGCATTCTGTGCTATAATTTCCCTGCAGCTCGTGTTGTGGTGAATCTGCATATTTCCAGTCTGACTGAGACTGTGGCCTTCCTGAGCTCCTCCTATAACTTCAGCCTGCCTGAGAACCAGGAAGCAGGGGTTTTGGTAGGCACGGTCACTGCCTCCTCAGGAAGCAACCTTTACAATGTCACGTATTCGCTGAATACACACAAAGACCTGTTCTCCATAAACCTCAGTGGAGATATCTTCACCAAAGCACAGCTCGACAAAGAACAGCAGGAATGGTACTTCTTGGAAGTGGAGGTTGTGGACACACGGAATCCACCTACATCAGCAATGACGACGGTATTGACTTTAACAAAAATGAGCTATTTCACTGATTGCAGAGGAACAGAGGAAGGGAACAGAATTAGATAGAAGCTATGTCAAGATGGCACAGCAAATGTGATCTGGTGTGTTTACAACAGACTAGCATAAAGTTTTCATGAAGTGTTATTATATACAAGGCCCATGTATCGAGCTCCTTGGCAATCCAAGCATGACCAAATACGTGTCCTTGTATTTTAAATTTTAATTAATTAATTGTAAAGTAATCCTTTGAGTTTACTTGTAGTGTTATTAACATGAGATTAGTCTCAAAGTCAGGAAATTAATTATTACAGTAGCAGAGTGAACACAGCAGGGATAAATACATACAGCATGACCTAATAATACTATACCCAAACAATACTGTAGTACTGTATTGCAGAGTTTTGTTTTTTGTTTGGTTCTGTATATCTGTGCATATGTATATACACAGATATGACACAAAATACAGTTGATGGGAGAGAGAGAGAAGTCGAGCAAAAACTAAATGCTTCATAGTGCAGTGGACAGTGTTGCACATTGAGATATGTACAGACCATGTGTGTATCCTCATGTTCATTTCTGTTAGACATAGTAGACTCTGGAAAAAAAGGCATCCAAAATCTCTCCTGGGTACAGCAACCTGTCACTGAAGGAGCTTCTTAGTGCTGCATGAGGTGGGAGGTGTTCTCTAACAAGGATGGTAGCTTAGCTACTGTTGTCCTGTTGCTCACTGTTTCCATTGAATCAAGAGGTTATCCCAGCATAGAGCTGGCCTTCTTGATCAAACTGTTTAGTTTCTTTCTGTCCCCAGCAGA